GGCTGTTTTCGGCCACCCTCGGCTCTACGGGTAAACACGGCTATTTCCGGCTTCCCTCGGCCCTTCGGGTCAACTCGGCTCTTTTCGGCCACCCTCGGCTCTTCGGCTCTTCGGAACAATTCGGCCCGGCTCGGCTCCCTCAGGGCGCGAAAGCGGCCGTCAGAGGACCCCGGCACAGCGAGGCGTTTAACCCACATGCCTGGCACAAACCCGCCAAACTACCCCGCCCGCGGCGCCGCTGAGCCCACAGCATGTGTCGGGTACACATGAAACGCCACAGAAAAATCCGTCGGAGCCGCCATGACGTCAGTATTCCGTGCAGGCAGTCCACTTACACCCACCCCGGTCCTCCACTTCCCCGCCCTTTTCGCCGCCATGCTGAGAAGGTCAATTAAAAGTCCGCGACATCCGCGACGCGCCACTCCCAAGGTGGCGGCCTCTCGGTGCAGGGCTGCAGTACCGCGCTCTGCCCACAAGGCGGCAGCACTGCCGCACGCCCCAGCCGGGGGCGCAGCGCGCCTCGGGGCTCTGGGCAGGGAAGGCGGCGAAAAAGAACAGGGGCGGCCCCCGCCGAAAACTGCTCTGAAATAAATGCCCCAAAACAACGGGGAAGAGGAAAAATAAACTTCTGCCTCTAATCTAATAGGATAAAAGACAAAACAAAACACAACACACAAAAAAAACCCCCAAAAACCCAACAATGTCTTTTAAAAAATATTTAAATATTTTTTAAAAAGTTTTTTCCTATTAATATTCACATTTCTATTTACAATGTATATTGATGTACACTGTCCATTTATACATTTCTTTTTATAAATACATTTCTATTCCATATTGCATATATCCCTAAAACTTAAATTTATTTGTATATTTTTATACATATTTTTACATAGTAAGTATATATTTCTGTTACGATTTTTACTTCTGTAACACTTGCATTATTTAAAATAAAACCTTTGCCTCCATCCACATTAAAGCCAAAAAGAAGCCCTTTCTTCTCAACGGTATTCAAATATTTTTTAAAATTCTAGTTTTCAGGTTCATATTCATATTTACATTTAAAATGTACACTTATGTATACTGTTATTTGTATTCTTCATTACATCTCTTCCTATTATTGGTATTTCTTTATATTTTGTGTTTTTATATATATATTTATATCTCGATTGTATATCTCCATATTTAGAAATAAATAACAATAATATCTACATTCATATTATTTAAAATAAAAACCCTGCCTCTAACACAATAGGAATAAAAAAAACCCCAACCCTTTGTTGTAAACAATATTTAAATAGACTTTATCCTAATGTTCAATTTTTATATTCATATTTGTATTTATAAGGTATATTAATGTCTATTGCTTACTTATACATTTATCTTTACCAATGTCAAGTTAAAAATAAATTTATATTCTATATTACATCTGATGCGAGTAGTTATTTATGAATTTTTATATATTTTTATTCATATTTTTTATATTGATTAAATATTTCTGCCTCAAGATTTTTACTTCTGGAACACTTATAATATTCAAAATAAAATCCCTGCCTCTACTTAAATAAAAGCCAAAACATTCCCTTTCTTTTAAGCTATATTTACATATTTTTATATTTATATTCCCATTTATAATTTATATTGCCGTATAATGTTATTTACATTCTACACTACAACTCTTCATATTACTTACATATATTTATATATAAATTTATATTCATATTTTAGCAATTTCTCCTTATATATTTATTACATATTTCTATCTTAAGATCCACATTTCTATATTACTTATATTATTTCAAATAAAACTCCTGCCTCTAACCAAATGAAAAGCAAGGACGCCCCTTTATTTGAACCCGATTTAAAAATGTAGGAAGTAAATTTATTTTTCAAAACTAAAATGATATTCATATGGATATTTTAATTTATTTTATTCATAGATATTATATATATTAGAGAGAATACCTTCTAATATAATAATAGATCTGTATTTTCTGTATTATAGATTTCTTTTACTTATATTTATTTAAATTAAATATTTATAGAGATTTGTATTTGTATATATATTTGTATATCTGAATTGATATTTTATTTCTATCACTTATTTAAAAACCCCAGCCTATAACCTAATAAAACCCCCCCATTTATTTTAACTCCATTTAAATATTTTCATATTAACTATCTATATTTATGTATCTTTGTGTATATATATATATATAATAGACTATCATTTATCTATATGATGTTACAATTATATACCATGTATTACAGTTTTATGTATGTATCTGTTATCTATATTTATGTTTACCACTCTAATGTTATATTTATTTTTAAATGTATATTTATTTCTATTTTCATCTCTATATTAAACCATACAAGTTCATTAACCCCACGCACCAGAACCACAACAATACCGTACCTTTGTCAGCACCGGCACGCAGCACACGCTCGTCCCATCGCAGCGCATCAAAACAAAACCCACTGCTATTAATAACGGAACAAACGTCCCACAACGTCATTGAACCCTAATAAAAACTCCAATAAACCTAACTGTCAATAAATTTTAAATCCCACTATAAAGTAGCCCAAAACCTCCGCACATTCTCATCATAAACTTCCTCCTAAACCACTATCTCAAAAACCCCAAAAAACTCAAATACACCTTGAAAATGACACAACTGCTAATAAAAACAAACACCCAGTAAAAATTAAATCAAACCAACTCACGAGACTCAAAACTGTACAACTGACCCTAAACATTACTAAAAAAAGTCCCCAAAGCTCTACCTTGATGCTAATGCACAAATAATAACCTATCATCTAGAAAAGTTATTTGAAAAAAATTAAAAAAAATAAATAAAACCATGAAAATAAAAAACCTGAACTATTAAAATACTAAAAAATATCACTACCTAAATTAAAAAACGTATTGCCTATAAAAACCCACCATATAAATGCCCCTGTCCCAAAAAATAAAAAAAACTATCGAACCAGAAAGAAATCAGAACTTAGGAACACTAAAACCATAGCGTTCAAGACCTCACACCACATCCCTTATCATACACCAACTACAAACAACAGAAAACAATACAATGAATTCTTAAAAACCACCTTAAAACCACTACATTGAAAAACCTTTCCAAAATTAAAAACTGCATTTAACAAAAGCCATCTCATAAATTCACACCCAAAACTCCAGCAGCCCAGCTGGCCCTACCAAAGCTCTATCTTTATACAGACAGCAAACACAAACAAAAACAAAAATCCCAGCAAAACCCAACCCAAAGAATCCCATTGAAATTAATCCTGCCTCAAATACAAACCAACCCATCCAGAAAGTCAGCTTCACTCAAAAAACAATTTACACAGAGTTAATAATACCAAGAAATAAAACAACACACCATATACCACCAATGAATATAACAGTCAAGTAAAAAAAAAAAACACTACACCTTTTTCTTTTTATTTCTTAAACTAACTTCTTTTATTAGCTAGAACAAAAGATTTTGCCAGGACTGTAACAACAACAACAACCTCTTTTTCTTCTTCTCCTTCTGAAATGTCCCTTCTCACTCCCAAATTCCTTTCAACTCCTGAGTTTACAGCCAATCAAAAAGCAAAATTCGTGCACTCGTGCTCGTTCGCTGCTCCCGTCAGATTCTCTGTTCCCCTCCACATCTTCTCACACTTTCAGTCTCCATGCTGTCCCGCCGTGATGAGTCTGACAGAAGAACTGGCACAAGTTAACAGAGCATTTCCCTTCCTCCCTCCCTCTGCTTTCCTCAGCGCATTTCAATCCATCCCAGGCCTGCAACGATGCACCCTCACCCCAAAGCTCACAGCAAGCGTGCAGCAGCTCAGGCTCACCTGGCTCCAGGGCTCTGTGCCTTGGATAGCCGAGGAAACTTCTGATGAGCCTCCGTTCCAATCAACTGGAATGCAAACTCACCTCCATCTCAGAGCCTCAGTGACCTCGGCCAGCCCCTTCCTCGCTTCCCTGGGTCACAATGACTTCCAGGCACAAGGATGCCAAGCAGGTTCTTGTCTTTTCTCTTGAGTGCCAACAGGTCAAATCTGTAGGCTTTGACATAACTAATTACCCTCTCTTTGAACTCTCCCAAGGACACTTTTAAAGAAAAGACACAAGATTGCTGCTACAGCCATGTGGGATCGGGAGGAAAGCAGCAAGGATCCCAGGCCAGCGGCGCGGCCGGGCAGTGTCACGTCCCTGCCGCCCTGTGACAGGGCGCACGGCTGCAGGGCCCCAGAGCCTGCAGGCCCTGGAGCTGCCGCACGGATGGACCCGGTTCCCTCCCCGGGTGCCCAGAGGGAAACCTGAGGGCAGGTGTCCACCCCGAGGGTGCACCCAGAGCCCCGGGCACGGATGGAGTCACTGGCCGCTCTCTGGGGACGAGACCCTCCCTGCAGGTGACGCTGCCTTGCCCTCTCCCTCCCTGTGGCACAGGCACCTCCAGGCTCCATGACCAGCCTCCTTCCGTCAGCATCCAGGTGCTGTGTCGGAGCCAGAGGGGTCGAGGCTTTCCAGAACCATAGCGTCCTTTAGGCTGCAAAAGCCTTCTAAGGCCATCGAGCCCAGCTGCTGCCCCAGCACTGCCAAGCCCCCACCCAAATCAGGTCCCTAAACACCACATCTTGCCATGCTTCAAATGTCTCCAGCAATGGGGACTGCCCTGGGCAGCCCGCTCCTACGCCTGACCACCCTTTCAGTGAACAAATTGGTCCTCAAAGCCAATCTGAGCCTTCCCTGCTGCAACTTGAGGCCATTTCCTTTTGTCACGGCACTTCTTACCGGGGAGATCTCGGCACTTCAACCTTACCTGCTCCTTCCCTAGGAGCTCTCTGGCTTGCCTGCATGAGAGGAGAAACACTCCCAGCACAGGAACGGCAGCTCAGCAGGTCGCACACCGAGGCAGGGGAGCAGCTGTCCTCACCACAGCTCCCGTGTCAGCTCTCACAGATCGGCTCTGCTCTGCCTCCCGGGGGCAGATCTCTGCTCAGCGCTTCAGAATTGCCTGTTTGGAGGAGGGGGAAAAAACAGCTTAGCCAAGATTTTTATCCAGACTTATCTGATGTCTTTGCCTGCTTTGCCTCTTCCTGACTTCCTCCTGCTAAGAAAACAGCTGCCTTTGGACTTCTAGGGGCAACTGCCACGTAATGCTTGAAAAGGACCTACAGAAAAGTGCCTCATTTTTCAAGACTCAGCCAAGAAGACAGACAACTGCACCTTCTCCATCCCCACTGCCTGCAGAGCTGCCAGGCACCAGGCCAGCTCTGCTCCTGCTTCCAGTTGTTCCCAACCCTGCTGCAAGAACTGAAGGCTGCTTTGGCGTTCCATTGCTCCGCTGCTCCCAAAAAAGATCTTTCAGTGCCGTTCTCCCTCCACGGGAAGGGCCCTTCTGCCTCACACGCTCGGTGACACGAGGCTGCGCCAAGCTGCAGCAGCCTCTGCTCCAGCTGGGAAGGGCTTTCTTCCTCCTCTGGCAACTGGCTGGCACAGGTTGCTCACACATGCTGGGGCTGCCCCATCCCTGGAAGTGTTCCAAGGCCCATTGGTGCTCTGGGATCAGGCTCAGAGCGACCTGGTCCATGGAACCGTGTCCCTGCCCACGGCAGCAGGCTCCGAACGAGGTGATCTTTAGAGCCCCTTCCAACCTGAATTATTCCATGACTCTGTGAACTCAAAAAACTCGGGGAATAAATCTGTAAAGTCACTAAATACATAAAAGCATATCCCCATCAGCATAATTTTCAATGAAAAGTATATCTACAAACAGGGAGAAATATTCTATGTATTTGCTCTTGCTACCTTTCAGGCGTAATTTCAGCTATCTCTTCCAGTTTTAAAATATTCTCTTTTGAAATAATAAGCGGTGTTCAAATTTTAGCATTTTTACACTAGTGCAGCAGCAAAAATTGCTGACAATCAGGCCGTGTCATTCTTTATGGAGCAGAGCCATCGTGACAGCATTCCTGGGACAGAAATTTTACAGGACGTCACTCCACAGAGAGCACCAAAATCCATATCAGCTGGCAGTTCTGCTCCTCCACATCAGAAAGCTAAACTAGGACAAGACAGCCTCGGGATTCACGAATGGCAAGGCAATAAGAGACACGCCTTAATAATATCATTACAATTTCCACAGATCTGCCACCTGATCTGCGACAGCACAGCACCCTGGCCCAGAGGAAGGTGAGCCTGCCCAGGACAGGGGTGGAACTAGGTCGTTTTCAACATCTCTTCCACCCCAAACCATTCTGCCGTGTGATGACACAGGAGAGTTGTAAGGGAGAAGAAGGATGAATTCCTTTGGGGAAGGATCATTGTTTGCCTCTCTAGTAGCAGGCTTTGCTGGCAGGATTGTTTTGCTCTTGCACTGACCTTGGCTGAAGGTGCTTCACCCTGCAGAGAGCGGTGACAGCCTGCTGCACACGCTGTTCTTGGGCAGAGCGCACGGAGCCAGAGGGCAAAGAGCCCCCAGCAGGTCCGTGACAGGAGCGGATGCTCCTCCCCACCTTTGGAAATATCCATTAGGGATTTTTCCAGCAGATGGCAACAGCAGACCGGCGTGGACTGCAAGGGCAGACTCTGCGGGCTGCCTGAAACCTGGCTGGGCTCCACCCAAAGCACCTCTCGGGGTCTGCTCCTCCCGCTCCTGGCATTGAGCCTGGCTGGCAGCCCGGGGCATGGTTACTGGAGTACAGAATAAATCAGTGCTGCAGGAAACTGCACAACAAGCTCTGCGGCTCTTGCTGTGTGTGCAGGCCTTAAAACACACCTGGTGCATTTGGAACAGATGAAAATTATGGCTCCCCCTGAATAAACATGATTTCTCTCCTAGATATCATTTTGAAAAATAATACTTCAAGGGGTGATCAGAATGGGAGCGCAGACAAACACCAAGAATAAAAACTACAGCGTTTGATGCTTTATCAAAAGGTGTGCCTGCCCTACCGTGTCGGGAAGCTGGACTGCTGGACCCAACTTTGCAGCACATTCTTGTCATTGCTTCTGAGCCACCTTCACCAGCTGCTCTCGTGGCATTTGCCGTGCCATTTGCAAATTACAATACGAGCGAACCTGGAAGGCAAAACACAAGATAAATTTACAGCTGGACGGTCAAATCTTTTTCTCCAAAATGCAATCAATGTACAGCTTTCCCCTTAAGCTGAAGTGCAGGCCAAATTCATAGAATCACTCGGGTGAGAGAAGCCCTTCAGGCAGTGAAAACGAGCATTTAGGTGTGGTATGAAGCTTGGGGAGCCCTGAAGAGGCTGTCAAAGTCGACTGATATTCTTTGGAAATTACAAATAAAAAATGGGAGGAATGAATTTACAATGAATCCAGTGCGGAAACGCCGCAAGGGACAGCTTGCAGGGGAGATGCCTGAAAGCCAAAGCTGTGCTTCAGTGGCATCTGAGGTGGCAATTTTGCAGAGTGCCTCTACACAAGTTTCTTTTCGCTGCGAGCAGTGAGCAGCGGCTCAGAAGACCTGGCTGTAAAAAACACAGGTTATTGTCCCCAAGCACATGCCAGTGGTCTGGAAAAGGGTGACACTCGTTGACATGACTGTTGTGATTGCTCAAGGGGAGAGCTCCTCAGTCCTCCTCACTTCACCGATGCTCCCCGTTGGGGCGCAGGTGAATGGCACCACTGGGCTGTGCTTCACCTCCCTGGGTATATTCTGTGCAGGGAACTGCAGTGCCATTGCAACTTTTCTGCTCTCACATCATTCTTCCAGAGAAAGACAGTACCTTGAAGGGAAAAGTGCCCTGTCCCTGTCCCACTTCCTTTGTCACTTGTGCTAACCCACAGCACACACTCCCTGCACATGTTATCTGAATGTTAACTCTGTTTACAAGTGCTGTGAATAAACCCCAATCCAACTGACAAAGTTCCTCTTTGCTCACATTTCAATACAAGGCTGGAACTATCACCTTGCAAAGAACTCTCCTCTACCAGTGCTAGATGCAAAACCAAAAAGCAAACCTAGGAATGCCTGCCACACTCCAGCACACGAAGCTGCTGCTGCTGCTGCTGCTGCTGCTTTTAATGGCTTAGCCTGAGGGCTTTGCTGCTCTTCCTTTGCTCTGCTAATGGGAAGGACTGGGAGACCTCTTTGAACTAGCTACACATAGCAAAGACTGAATAAACAAGTATTCTTCATCCCATTTCTCTTAAGAGTTTGTCCTGACAGATGTCTTCTCCCTCCTGAGGTGTGGATTATAGTTTGTGTTTCCCTTTTTTTCCCCCTTTAGCCCTTGAAGCATTTCACACCCTGCTGGGCAAATGCCCAGAAGTAATCAGACTGACTGAACACGGGAAACGCAGACAAAAGAAAAGGCTGGAAGCTACTGTTCTTCTCCCAGCTGGCACCGCCAGCTCCTGAGGGCTCAGCCACCACAGCCCACGTTTGTGACAGTACCTGTACGCTCTGGGTGTGTGCAGCCCTTCCGTCGTGCGGCAGCCTGGAGCTGCAGGCTCAGATATCCACCGCGAGCTCCTGGATCCTCCAGGACAAAGCCAGCTCTCCCTGCTGCTCCCGTGTTGCGCTGCCTGTGGAGCAGGGAGGGAAGGAGAGGCACACGGGTTAGCACAGTGGCAGTGCACGAGCTGCCAGGCGTCACCCATCTGACCCGCACCAAAGAGGAAATCTTAATTTTCAGAACTTCCCATCATGCCACACAAGACACTGAAGCCGTCCAAATCTGGAAGGGATAGCCTGGCATGATGCCCCCCCAGGTCATATCTTACATCAAGAGTTCTTTTTCTCCTGCACAAGGCTCTATATCCTACTTGGACAGATATACAAATATCTATAGAAACTACAGATATTCAATAAGCCATCTTAAATCATAACAGCCAGGCCTCTGTACGACCGTGCTTAACTCCTGCTCAGCTCACGCCATCTCCCCGTTCCTCAGGCATCAGAAACCACTGAAACTCCCGTGTTTTCCTGGGGGCTGCCTGCCTGCAGCTGCCCTCCTCTCACCAACGGGGCCACCTGCCAGGCTCCCCAGGGCACAGCAGCCTCCAAGGGGAGCATTCGTCTGTTTGAGAGGTGATGGAAAGCCTGGGGAAAAAAAAAGCTCAGCGACACTGTGGCTCTGAAGGTGCAAGAATCATTACCCTGGAGACGTGCAGCTCACCTGGTTCATGCTGAGCACGCTCCCTGCTCGCTTCACCTGAGCGTTCAGCTGGAGAGATCCATTTCCACGCGCTGGGCTGGGTCCGTCTCCGTCCCTGCTGCGAGAAGGTGTTCGGGGGGGTGCCGCTGCCCGCTCAGCAGACGCTTCACGCACTCTGCCAGCAGCAGGGGCAGCCTTTGAGGCCACACCAGCCTGGCACAGAGTCACTGAGCCATTCTGACTGTGTTAACAGCACCACGGATGAATCCCCATACCCTCGGGCCTTCATTCTCCGGCACCCCGAGCCCCGCGGCTGCGCGGCAAAGAAGGAAAGCGGGCACCGGAAGAGAGGAGCGAGAGCAGGGCATGACAAAGGGCGGCGAGGGAGGGCGGGCTGTGCAGGAAAGCGGCACGGGAAGGGAAAGCCCGGGAGGGGGGGTAGAGGGAGGGGGGACAGAGGAGGCAGAAACGGGGAAGAGAAAGGGAGTAGCGGGGAAGGGGCTGGACAGGAAGGAGCCGGGCTTGTGGGGGCAGAGGGAATGGGGGAAAGGGAGCGAGAGAAGGCGAATACGGGGAGAAGGAAGGAGGGCGAGAGAGAGGGACAGGCGGGGAAGCCTCACAGAGCCCCGGCTGCACCCCGAGCCCGGCCCGGCGCCTCGCCCTGCCCGGGAGGCTGCGCTCGGGGGAGCTGGGCTCGCTCCGGAGTCACTCGGCTCCAGTCGGCTCTTCGGCTAAACTCGGCTACTGTCGGCTAAACTCGGCTATTGTCGGCCGCATTCGGCTGCATTCGTCCCTTCGGCGCGCTTCGGCCCAACTCGGAGCCGCTCTCTGCGCGTTCGGCTGAGCTCGGCTCGGCTCGCCTCCCCCGACGGCGGGCAAGCGGCGCCGCCTCACGTTAAACTCGCCCGACTCGGGGCGCTCCTGCTGCCGCGTCCCGCGGGCGGCCCGGCCATCGCACCGACACGACCGGGAGCGCGGGGTGGCACAGGAGCTCATTGGGCTGTGACCGCACTCGCGCTAATTAGCGCGCACGAGAGCGGCGGGCTCGGTTCGGCCGAGCTCGGCTCCGTTCAGGCAGCCTCGCAAGCCTGGCCTCGGTTCGCTCGAGCCCCTCAGGTTCGGCCGGTCTCGCCTTGGTTCGGCTGAGCTCGTTCCATTCGGCCCAAGGCGGCGTCGTTCAGTCGTGTTCTTATAAATACCTTTCTTTATTGACTGTATATTTCTATATTTAGATTTATACTTCCATAATACTTCTATGATTCCAAATAAAACCCCCGTCTCTAACCAAATAAACACAAAAAAAGCCTTCTTTTGAACGATATTGAAATATTTTTATACTTTTGTATAATTATATTCACATTTATATTTATAGTTTCTTTTGATGCATTATATTCAGAATTATATATAATAGATACAAAATTCTAAGAAAGTATTTACTAATTTTTTCTTATAGGTTTAAATTTTATATATATCTGTATATATTTCTATTTCTATACTTAGATTTCTCCCTTTATATTATTTGTAGCTATAATTTTTACAATCAAAACACTGCCTATTGACAAATGAAAAAACCCACTTTGTTTAACTATATTAAAAAATATTTTCATGCTTATAATTGTCATATTTATATTTATAATTTGTTCAGTATTACATGAGAACATACCTGCTCCTGCACTGCAGCGGGGCTCCCTCTCCTGGGGTCCTTGGGGTGCCCCAATGGCATCAGAGCCCCGAGTCTTCATCCCCTTCTCCTCTATTTAGAAACTACACTGGAACTTTTTTCTGGAAACAAAGACATTACCTAAATCCTCTCTCCGTGTCCCAGACAGATGCATATTCAGTTATTAGTTGGCTGGGCAGCAGTTTCTTAAATAGAATGATAAACAAGATGTGAACATTTTAGCTACAAGCAAATAGGCAAATCTGAACAAGGTACTGGTGCCCAACACCAACCACCAAAGTGATTTTGAAGGAATTTTTTAAACAATAAAATAATGATACCACAAAAATTAAGCAAAAAGCTAACTACTGGCTAAGAAAGAAGGAAAAATTAACTTTTGACAGCAACAACGTTCCAACCACACAGGCTTTTTCCCCATGTCATACCTTGTAACTACCTCTCTTGGCAATTCTCATCATGTATCCCAAAAGGAATAAATACCTCAGAGCGTCCTAAAGCAAAAAGCAGCACACGTGAGCTCCTCACACTCCCGGGAGGCCGGCACAGCGTACACTGAGTCTGCAACAAATTCTGCTCACTGAGGGTCTGCAAACAAAGGTTCAACTGATGAACTGACCTGATTTTAAAGAGAGGTTTTCTAAGCGCTGAAGCACAAAAAAGAACAAGCAGAAACAATTCTTAAAAAAAAACCTGCAAGTTTCGTTTAGCATGTATGCGACTGATTTCCACCCTGTGGCTTCTCACTGTGATTCGTCTGCAGGTTCAGGAAGATGACAATGCACACTCTGCCTTCCCTGAGCCCCCCACGGCAGCGGAGCGCTGCTCCGTGCGCTCAGATCATCGGGAACTGGATTACACGTGCCCGGATGGACCGGAACTGCTCTGCTGCAGATTCAGGAGACGATGGCAGAGAGGGGCTGGCCGAGGCGTCGTCCCAATTCCGTTCCTGTGTGACGAGGAGCGGTTTGTTCCCAGCAGCTGCAACAATCCCCAGCTCGCTTCCGTGGTGAGTGCCGATGGCACACAAACGGCAGCCCGAGGAAATCGTGTTCTGGGCTCTAAGTGGTTGGGACAGGGTCCGATTTTTTGTTTTGTATCTGTATGATGATTAGTACGACAGGGCCCTGATCGATGACGTGGCAGCACAGAATTAAAAGCTCCTCAATAGGATTACATCGGCTTCGAGGAAAAGACAAAAGCCTAGGACCATTCTGAAATCTACTTTTAATCCAGAGCACACGGATTGTCACCATGCTGCACCTTCCAGCTTTTCAAAGCAGCTTACTTCTGAAGTCCAGGAAACACTGATTTCTACAGAAACAATGGGCAACCCCCAGGCTAATCTCAGCACTACTGTTTAACAGGGGACCTGCCAGCGTGCCAGTCCAGCCTCAAGTGTGCTTTACTTCAGTCTAACATCCCCACAAAATTCTTCTCACGTCTCCCAACCCTGTAATCTTATTTTCCCCTAAAGCTTCTCATCATTAGCAATTTCCAAGTAACATGTTTTTTTTTACAGCATTCAAAAATGTCATGCTGGACTGTGCTAGAGAGTAATCTGCAAATATAAGCTTAGCAAAGTTTGAATTGACTTGTCCAGAGAAAAAACCTACAAGCGAACACCTACACCTGCCTACAAAGAGCTAACAAGCCCCTGGCAGCTGCCAGCATCAAAGCACAGTGGATGTTTCTAATACAGGGTAAGGATAACAATATCACCTTTTGTTCTCTCCAGCTTGTTTTCCCTGCAGTCATATTTCGCTTCTTATGATTTTTTTAGTCTCCGTATCTTCGTGGACAGCACCGAGCCTGAAGACAAGGATACGAGAGTCTTTCCCTGCCGTACGGAGAGAACCAGGAAAACAGTTAAAAAGAGAACAGGGTAGTTTGAAATTCATACTTGCAATGAGAAGCAGCGCCTAACCAACAGAACAAAAGTAAACAAAGCATGGCAGCTCCCTGGGGACAGAAGACTTACAAACTCTCCAGAATTTACAATTCTAGCGACCATCTCCTTTAGGACAGCAGCCAAGTGTCCCATGAGGTGGCGCTACACCAAAGAACAATCTGAGAGGTTCTAAAGAGCGAAATGCACAATATTTTGCAAAGACATAAAATCTTGCAAAATAACAAAAATACAACGGATGTAAACTACAGGGCAAGAGTACAAGTGTTCACTTTAAGAGCTGGAACCATCCAGGTGAGCACCTGATAACTGGATTCTCACCAGAGTTTGAACCCTTCAGGTCACTGAAGAGTTTTCCCCAGAAATTTCACAGACTGAGTTTTGATAGAAGTACAGTTGCCACATCCTCAGAAATGTCACCCATTCTCCAGGTGTGTGGAGAGAACTGCAAATGGCTCTCACGTAGTTTGAGCTACTTCTGTAAGGTCTCAGGGTGAATTTCACCAGATGCAACCAAACAGGGCAACTCCCTGTGGGACAGAAGGAACCCAAAGCTTGGGTAAGCAGAGCTGCAGCAAATACTGAGGAAACAAACATAACAGTGTAAAAAATAATAAACCATCCTTTTTTTTCTCTTGCTTTTGTTTTTTTTCTTATTCAGATCAGCATAGCAATTAAAGAGAAAGTGAAAAACTCACCATTACTGAACATTTCATCATCTGCAGGCTGAGCATCCTTAGCATAGAGGACTCCAAAGTTAAAATTCACCGATCCCTGCAAAATAAAACCAAATATTGTATGATAAACAGTCAGACAGCAAACATAAAAATTTGTTTCCTCTAAGGACTTTCAGGTATGTATGTATCTTTGCATACATCCTACACATTAGAACATACACTTTATACCATCACCTAATACATAATCACTTACCTTTAAATTTTGATAGTATAGCATGAATTTTTAACTTAAATTGGTGATCTATTATTATTAAGTTGGTGCTTAAAGTTATTTCTGCTGTCACGTTCAAAAAAACATTAATTTTTTTTACTGTAATGACCAATTGATTTCAAAGTCATCACAAGCCCATCAAAATACAAAGCTCTGTTCACTGGACGGGTCTGTGAGCTAGAAGTAGTTAGGCTTCTACTTCCCTCTTGTTTTTCCAGAACCAAGAAATCCTGTCAACAAAACCAGGATCTTTAGCCCACTGCTGTGAAAGATTCTACAAGGATGATGGTTTGATTTGTGTTTAGAAGTTTTGATTTGAAATGGCCAGTTCAATGGATAAAGACTGTTTAACTAGTATTACATTACTGTTATTATTATTTCTATTATTATTTTTATTATTACTACTACTATTATTATCACCTGTTACTGGAAGAAACAGACCAGTAGTACCTATACTTAATTACTTTTATTTCCAGAAAATAATAAAGAAAAAAGAACCAAACCAAAAAAAGTCACTTCCTACCTTTTCTATCAAGGGATGAAAAATTTCTCTTGGGCTCTCCTCCAATTTACTGTTAAATGCAATGTTCTGTGGAACTGCCATTTCTTTCCCAAAATACTAACTTCCAACACTTCCTGAACGTATTTTGTATTTTAAAACAACAGAAGTTAGTGAGACTCTGTGGAGGTCAGGTTTAAATTTCTTTCCTTCTAAAGCATAGAGCCCTGTTCCATCACCCTGCCCTTTGGCTCTACACTGAATCATGGTGAGCATTTGGGGAGTGCTCAATAACCAATTCTATTTCTCTCTTTTTCTAGTTCTCTCTATTCTTAAATAATTCAAGACAAGTCAAATGAAAAATGACAAGTTCAGCCTCAAAGTCACACTTTTTCCCTTTGTCTGGTCAAGAACAGGCTCTATGCTGCCTTCAACGATTAAGACTTGCAAAACCGGTTTTACAGGTTTATCATAAAACCCACAGAAGGCAAGCTCTGAATAACAGGAAAAGGTACACAGGCAAATATCTAAAGGGATCACTTCTTTGGAAATACATACCTTGACAGAGATCGCACTGAGAACCTTTCTGTGGGACTCTAAGGGAGACATATTTTCTGAGTACCCTGTAAACAAGAAAAGCTACAATATATTACAGGACATCCCCACTTTTTCTACACATTCAAATAGGATTTTTAATAAAAACAATTCAGTTAAAAAAGGAGGAAGAAAACCAAGCTAATTTTACTCAGCTATATTTACTCCCGATTTAGAGGAAAAAAAAACACTCACAGGTGCTCGCCGTGCTCGCCCGGGGCGGCTCCTGCAGCTCCCGGCCCGCGGCAGCAAAGCACCGCCCCGCCCCCCGCCCCCGGCACCGCCGAGGGAGGCCGAGGAACCCCGCGGACGCTCCTTCCGCGCTGCTCGGCGCCGTGCGGGCGGCCGGACGGAGGCTTCGCCCGTCCAGCGTCGCCGTCCCGCGCGGGAGAGGCGGCGGGAGCGGCCCGCGCACAGCCCCGCGCGCCCGCCTGGCCCGCCAGCCAGTCATGTGCCGCGTCAGCCGTTGCGTCACGCGCCGCGCCGGCAGCAAGGCCTGCCGGGAGTTGTAGTCTCGGGCTGACAGCCACGGCTCCGTCCCCCGCCGCCGGGAGCGGCAGAACCTCCCGGGCATCAAACGGGACCTTCACCCCTGGGCGGGGAAGGACCTGAGGCAGCACCGCTCCTTCCGAATGCCTTCTCTTTCCCCCTCCAACTCTTTTTTCTTTTTTCACTCTGTTTTTCACCCCTTCCCTTCCCTCTTGCTCTCCCGCTTCCTTTCCTTGCCTTTCCTTTCCCTTCCCTTTCCCTTTCTTGTATTTCTGATCTTGGTTTACCTTTCTAGCTTTAGAATAAAAAAACAGCAGTAGAAACTATCAGGCTACCTGGGAGTAAAAAAAAAAAACTCCAAAACGAAAAGGATTTAAAGAAAACTATTTATTCCCTGGGAGCCTGAAATTTTCTACTGCTGCACGTGACATAGAGCTTTTATTCCTTCTTATAGAGAGTTGATATTTTCTACTTACTTTATACAGCGATCCCTGCCGTCTGCACAGGCGCACTGCAGGCACAGCGATCCCTGCCGTCTGCACAGGCGCACGGCAGGCACAGCGCCCCCTGCCGTCTGCCTCGGAGCACTGCAGGCACAGCGATCCCTGCCGCCTGCACAGGCGCACTGCAGGCAGAGCGCTGCGGCGTTGTTCGGTTCTGTTTAATGAAACTCGGCTGAATTCGGCTTGGTCCGGCTCTTGGTCTAAACTCGTTTCAGTACGGCTCTTCGGCCGAACTCGGCACGGTTCGACTAAACTCGGTCATATTGGGCACATTGTCTAAATGCGGCCAGTGTCGGCTACACTCGGCTATCGGTTCCAGTCGGCTATCATGGTCTCTTGGTGTAAACTGGGCGATTTTGGGCCGCCCTGGGCTATTCGGTTCAAGTCGGCTGTTTTCGGCCACCCTCGGCTCTTCGGGTAAACTCGGCTGTTTCCGGCTTCCCTCGGCCCTTCGGGTCAACTCGGCTGTTTCCGGCCACCCTCGGCTCTTCGGCTCTTCGGAACAATTCGGCCCGGCTCGGCTCCCTCAGGGCGCGAAAGCGGCCGTCAGAGGACCCCGGCACAGCGAGGCGTTTAACCCACATGCCTGGCACAAACCCGCCAAAATACGCCCGCCCGCGGCGCCACTGAGCCCGCGGCCCGTATCGGGTACACTTGAAATGCCACAGAAAATACCACTGGGGCCGCGCCCGCGTCGGTATTCCATGCAGGCAGTCCACTTACACCCACCCCGGTCCTCCACTTCCCCGCCCTTTTCGCCGCCATGCTGAGAAGGTCAATTAAAAGTCCGCGACATCCGCGACGCGCCACTCCCAAGGTGGCGGCCTCTCGGTGCAGGGCTGCAGTACCGCGCTCTGCCCACAAGGCGGCAGCACTGCCGCACGCCCCAGCCGGGGGCGCAGCGCGCCTCGGGGCTGCGGGCAGGGAAGGCGGCGAAAAAGAACAGGGGCGGCCCCCGCCGAAAACTGCTCTGAAATAAATGCCCCAAAACAACGGGGAAGAGGAAAAATAAACTTCTGCCTCTAATCTAAAAGGATAAAAGACAAAACAAAACACAACACACAAAAAAAACCCAAAAAAACAACAATTTCTTTTAAAAAATATTTAAATATTTTTTAAAAAGTTTTTTCCTATTAATATTCACATTTCTATTTACAATGTATATTGATGTACACTGTCCATTTATACATTTCTTTTTATAAATACATTTCTATTCCATATTGCATATATCCCTAAAACTTAAATTTATTTGTATATTGTTATACATATTTTTACATGGTAAGTATATATTTCTGTTACGATTTTTACTTCTGTAACACTTGCATTATTTAAAATAAAACCTTTGCCTCCATCCACATTAAAGCCAAAAAGAAGCCCTCTCTTCTCAACGGTATTCAAATATTTTTTAAAATTCTAGTTTTCAGGTTCATATTCATATTTACATTTAAAATGTACACTTATGTATACTGTTATTTGTATTCTTCATTACATCTCTTCCTATTATTGGTATTTCTTTATATTTTGTGTTTTTATATATATATTTATATCTCGATTGTATATCTCCATATTTAGAAATAAATAACAATAATATCTACATTCATATTATTTAAAATAAAAACCCTGCCTCTAACACAATAGGAATAAAAAAACCCCCAACCCTTTGTTGTAAACAATATTTAAATAGATTTTATCCTTATATTCAATTTTTATATTCATATTTGTATTTATAATGTATATTAATGTATATTGCTTACTTATACATTTATCTATACCAATGTCAAGTTATAAATAAATTTATATTCTATAATACATCTGATGCGAGTAGTTATTTATGAATTTTTATATATTTTTATTCATATTTTTTATATTGATTAAACATTTCTGCGTCAGGATTTTTACTTCTGGAACACTTACAATATTCAAAATAAAACCCCTGCCTCTACTTAAATAAAAGCCAAAACATTCCCTTTCTTTTAAGCTATATTTACATATTTTTATATTTATATTCCCATTTATAATTTATATTGCCATATAATGTTATTTATATTCTACACTACAACTCTTCATATTACTTACACATATTTATATGTAAATTTATATTCATATTTTAGCAATTTCTCCTTATATATTTATTACATATTTCTATCTTAAGATCCACATTTCTATATTACTTATATTATTTCAAATAAAACTCCTGCCTCTAACCAAATGAAAACCAAGGACACCCCTTTATTTGAACCAGATTGAAAATGTAGGAAGTAAATTTATTTTTAAAAATTATAATGATATTCATATGGATATTTTAATTTATTTTATTCATAGATATTATATATATTAGAGAGAATACCTTCTAATATAATAAGAGATCTGTATTTTCTGTATTATAGATTTCTTTTCCTTATATTTATTTAAATTAAATATTTATAGAGATTTGTATTTGTATATATATTTGTATATCCGAATTGATATTTTATTTCTATCATTTATTTAAAAACCCCAGCCTATAACCTAATAACACCCCCCCCATTTATTTTAACTCCATTTAAATATTTTCATATTAACTATCTATATTTATATATCTTTGTGTATATATATATATATATATATAATAGACTATCATTTATCTATATGATGTTACAATTATATACCAGGTATTACAGTTTTTTGTATGTATCTGTTATCTATATTCATGTCTACCACTCTAATGTTATATTTATTTTTAAATGTATATTTATTTCTATTTTCATCTCTATATTAAACCATACAAGTTCATTGACCCCACGCACCAGAACCACAACAGTACCGTACCTTTGTCAGCACCGGCACGCAGCACACGCTCGTCCCATCCCAGTGCATCAAAACAAAACCCACTGCTATTACTAACGGAACAAACGTCCCACAACGTCATTGAACCCTAATAAAAACTCCAATAAACCTAACTGTCAATAAATTTTAAATCCCACTATAAAGTAGCCCAAAACCTCCGCACATTCTCATCATAAACTTCCTCCTAAACCACTATCTCAAAAACCCCAAAAAACTCAAATACACCTTGAAAATGACACAACTGCTAATAAAAACAAACACCCAGTAAAAATTAAATCAAACCAACTCACGAGACTCAAAACTGTACAACTCACCCTAAACATTACTAAAAAAAGTCCCCAAAGCTCTACCTTGATGCTAATGCACAAATAATAACCTATCATCTAGAAAAGTTATTTGAAAAAAATTAAAAAAAATAAATAAAACCATGAAAATAAAAAACCTGAACTATTAAAATACTAAAAAATATCACTACCTAAATTAAAAAACGTATTGCCTATAAAAACCCACCATATAAATGCCCCTGTCCCAAAAAATAAAAAAAACTATCGAACCAGAAAGAAATCAGAACTTAGGAACACTAAAACCATAGCGTTCAAGACCTCACACCACATCCCTTATCATACACCAACTACAAACAACAGAAAACAATACAATGAATTCTTAAAAACCACCTTAAAACCACTACATTGAAAAACATCTCAAAAATTAAAAACTGCATTTAACAAAAGCCATCTCATAAATTCACACCCAAAACTCCAGCAGCCCAGCTGGCCCTACCAAAGCTCTATCTTTATACATACAGCAAACAAAACCAAAATCCCAGTAATACCCATCAGAAATCTATGAAACAATCCCATTGAAATTAATCCTGCCTCAAATACAAACCAACCCATCCAGAAAGTCAGCTTCACTCAAAAAACAATTTACACAGAGTTAATAATACCAAGAAATAAAACAACACACCATATACCACCAATGAATATAATAGTCAAGTAAAAAAAAAAACACTACATTTTTTTTCTTTTTATTTCTTAAACTAACTTCTTTTATTAGCTAGAACAAAAGATTTTGCCAGGACTGTAACAACAACAACAACCTCTTTTTCTTCTTCTCCTTCTGAAATGTCCCTTCTCACTCCCAAATTCCTTTCAACTCCTGAGTTTACAGCCAATCAAAAAGCAAAATTCGTGCACTCGTGCTCGTTCGCT